TGTCAAGAGGCAAAGTTTGAAAAGTCAATGTGACACCTCAGACTCGTATTCGGGTCAGATACGGGTTGAGGGTGTTACAACTAATGTCCATATATTGTGACGTTTATAGCTAGAAACACCGTAATAATTCAAATATATTGCGGCGTTTGTGCCTAGAAACGCCACTATATAGTATACCTATTGCAGCGTTTGTTATAAACGCCACTAATATATAATTTTTTACGGCGTTTGCGTTTAAAACGCCACTAAAGTGCAAATATGTTGTGGCATTTGTATCCAAACACGCCACTATATATTGCACTTATTGCGGCGTTTGTATAAAAACACCGCTAATATACAACTCATTAGCGACGTTTTGGATACAAACGCCGCTAATTACCTTTATTTATATAAGATTAACATATTTTAAATATTTCATTTCTTCTATACATAACCAGTACTTATGCATAAAACTAAACAACAAAATACATTATAATTTAGAAACATTAAAGTATTTATGCATAAACAGTCTTCACCATATTGTTTACTACAATTTATATAAGACTAAATACCATATACTTTAATTAAGAAAGAAGTACTTATGCATAAAACTACTGATCAACAAAATACATTATAATTTAGAAACATTAAAGTACTTATGCATAAACAGTCTTCACCATATTGTTTACTACAATTTAGTCTTCATTGCTCCTTCGTGGGGAAAGGACGTAGGAAAGTTGTTTTCCTTGTTTGACGACGCATCGTTAAGTTTTTCCTCCGTGTAAACTCTATATGGAGAAACTCTTCATCCATTTCACCAAATAAATCTCCTACCTCCGGTTCACCAATAAGACTCCTTGTGCGCTTCAATGCTTCACTTGAAACAGATAACGACCCTCCACCTACAGTATCAAACTTGATTTGAGGTGGTTTGAGAATTGAATCAAACGTTAAAATAAATTTAAATAGATGATGTAAACGTTTACTTGGAGTAACAATAGAGGCAACATCGTCTTCATTGAGGATCGCTACTGCTTTTGCAATTGAAGATTCTTTCAACGCCACAGAGTTACCAAATTTGGTTCTAAACATAGGGTATTTATCCATTCGTCTATCATCGTTCTCAATAAGCTTCGAAGATCCTACATGCGTACGATCTATGAAATTTGAGTGAGCGTACAAAAGGGAAATATAGCGGCATAAGATTCATAAAATATTACCTTCAAGTAGGAGATCGACCATGGAAGGGTATGGAGCAATATGAGTTCCTTTAGAGTCATCATCGAGTTTCGACGGTGAGACTGGACCGATAGCCTCCCAACGATAATTTGATCCATCGTCAGAGCAAAAACGCCACGTAGACATTCCGACGATAATTTCTCTTACTCAAGGCAAGACCTGCTCTTTTTTTTCTCAAATAAGATAACTTTCTGGGTTTTCCCCATTTTCAGAATACCAACCAAACCAAAAATGAAAAAGATCATTAGTGATAAGGGGGATCAAATCGTGGAATTGTGTTATAGTTCGTCGGTGAGAGGGCCGATTTGTCGTCGGGATAGACAAAAGACGACGTCGCTTGGAATCGTGTGAGGGTCTTTGTTGTACCAGAGAAAAAACTGTGAGGGAAGAAGAGTTGAAATGATTTTAAGGTTTGAGTGGGAGAAAAGGGAAGATAATATATTTAACATTTTGCAGTGTTTTTTATAAAAACGCCACTATATCACATGGTTTTGCCGGCGTTTATACAAAAAACGTCATTTAAACAACCATATTGCGGCGTTTTACATATAAATGCCTCTAATTTACCATTCTATTACGGTATTTGTGGTATAAACGCCGCTAATTTACCACTATATTACGGCGTTTTTGGTATAAACGCCGCTAATTTAACACTCTATTACGGCATTTTGGATAAAACACCGCTAAATGTCTACTCTATTGCAGTGTTTTACTATAAACGCCACTATTGATTAACCTTTCCGTGGCGTTTGTCTAAAAACGCCGCAAAAACTATTATTAATTACGGTGTTTGTTAAAAAACGCCACTATATACCATACTATGGCGGCGTTTTTAACAAAAACGCCGCTATATTTATACTCTATTACAGTGTTTTTACAAAAAAAACGCCGCTAAAGTCTCAATGTGTGGTGTTTGGATTGAAAACGCTGCTATATGTAACACTTTTGTGGCGTTTTATCAACAAACGCCGCTACAGAACAGTTTTGCTATAGTGTCCCTAGGGGCTAAGTACATCTCCATTATTTTTTTAAAAAAATGGTTAAATTTAGTTTAATGTGTTAAGGGAAAAAATGCATATATATTATTTATAGAAAAATATAAATTTTAGAATCCATTTTAAATTTTGAGATCCGCAACTGTTTGGTTGTTGTCAAAGCTAGTGGTACTATATGCAATTGCTTGGTGAAATTGGGTCCTGGCGACCCATTCACTATCAATATCATAGAAGATGGGCTCTTTGTTTTATAAAAACATGTTTGATTTGGGAAAGCTCTTCTTAAAGTTAAGTTTTCCATATCAGACTGTCTCTAACAACCCCTTGGAATGCTAAGATTGGTTTGAAATGCATATTACTGTAATCTGCTACGTCAATTACCGAGGATTCATCTATTTTAAAAGGAAGAGAAATATGAATTCTAACTTGGCTTCTCCGCAAGAGAAAAACCCAAAAAATTATAGAACAAAAAAAAATTAATAATAGTAAATGATCCAAATTTGGCTTGATTTGTTGCTAAAGTCCCAAGCTTGAACTTGGTAGGTTTTGGTTGAGTTGATGAGCAGGACTTTGCCAGATCGAATGATCACTAATGTGAAGAATGTTCCTTCTCGTTAAACTGCTGCCTGTTATTCTTTGATACAATTTCAGCTCCCCATAAAGAATCTGGTTAATTATTTTGGTTTCAGAGAATCTATCCATCTACTGCTGCACCTGAGACCCCAGAGGTATCCATTGCTATCTTGGTGTCAATGGACTTTGATCGGAACTCAACCAGCCTGGTTCTTGTACATGCTACAAATGACATCAATGCTGCCACAAAAATTCTTCTTCAAGCTCAATCCCACCGATTCAACATAAGCATTTGCCAATGAATTCTCTCAAAAAATATACAGGTTTGCTGGGTAGTAAATTGTCCAAAATGTTGTAAATTGTTTGATTTGAATGGACAATTTAGGTACCATTTTTTCAGTTGATCAAATCTTTCTTCATATTCATTTGTTTATTTTTAATTCAATCATGTATGCTCGGTTCGTATCAGTTAAAAATATTTTATTTGCTGATATTGAAAGTAAAATAATGAAATTGTGGAATGAAAAAGAGTGATACGGGAAGCATGAGAGGTGGAAAGTGCAAAGAGCAGATAAAGTGGCTGAGAAGGCGCAAAAGAGCACGCTGCAGACCAAGGCGGTGGGAGGAGAGCACGTCCACCAGACACAATGGGCCACTCCCTCTCTCGAAATGTGTAAGCAAACACAAACGCACGTTTTTCCATCCCATCATTCCCTTGTCAGCTCCACGCCTACTCCTCCATCTCTTATTAAAGCATCTATAACTCAATATATCTTATTTTAAATAATACTATGAGTCAACACTATATAGAGCATGTAATTAAAAAATTTCAGATAACATTTTTCATTTGTTTTAGATTGTGAGTTCAATACCTATAAAAATAAGATGGTAAGAGAGAAATAGACAACTTTAAATTAATGCTTTGATTTCTTAATGAATAGATGATACATATGAAGTGGAGAAAATCTTTATTTATTGTTCAGTCTCCTTCCATTGAAGGATAATAGATCGAATTACATCAATAATTAAAATTAAAATGAAAGTTTATCTACCATAAAATAGATATTCAAGGAAATTATATCACCTTTTTATTAATTACCTTAATACTGTGTTCATATCAGTGTTTATATTAGTGAATCTACTTATTATCTAGAATACAATTTTATCAAGGTCCAAGTGAATAAGTTTTTTTTTCTATTCTTCAAGAATTGAACTAAGTCTTGATCTAGCCGAGCTCGAATTGCTCCGTAGAACCTCTTGAATAGCTGTATGTGCATAAGTCTCGGACCCCAGCTCAAGGTCTGTGTTGCTTCTACTAGAGGTGTATTAATTGTACCAAAAAATAATTCCTCAATACCAACCGGAGTTAATTCAAGTGGTAAACAGCTTGATTCCGCTTAAGCAAAGTCTCAGATTCGAGTCTTTGTGTATGAAGAAAATTCATGCTGGAATACTGACCCACCAAAAGTAGGTGTGTGATGCGGGTCAGTCCGGACTAGTAAGGGCAAAGCCTTGGAATCTCAATAAACATATTAAACATACAATTTAAAATTAAAATAATCAATAATACTAATTAATAATTTTACGAGAATAGTAAATACGGAGTATTAATTACTACATTTTAATTTATTATTTCAACAAAATTTTATATTAGTTGAGATCGTCCTTGATTCGTGTGAGAATGTTTCCAATCTTAGATGCTTTTTGTTGGTTAATACCCGGAGCTGAAAACGAATCCATAAATGATTTTGTACATAACTGTCCATAATTCCAAGCATCAAATCAGAGTTTGGATGAGACAGAATCCTTCAAAATCTTTGCAAACTCAGTGATGAAATGCCAGAAGCCCAAAACCCTCAACATGTAAAAGCATGATACTATCATTTGCAGAATGCATATGCTATATTTTTTATGCAGAGCCTGGGAACTCACAGAAACATCTGTATTTTGCAGCTAAACGACACCAATAACGTACACATGTCTTCATTCAGATTTCAGAACTTGATTCACACAAGTAAATGAGAATGATGTTCTCCTTAAAAGACATGAGCTTGAAGCCTTGAACGGCTGTATCTATAAGGTTCTCGGAATAAGCTCATAGAGTATGATCCTACCTTCACCTTTTTCACCCTAGAATTACAATCCATGTCAAATACAAATCAAGGTCACTAACCAGTCACCCCACCCCCACCCCCCCAAAAAAAACAGCAAAGTTGAAGATGAAACTTTTAAACAGTGACTACGACATCAGTGGACCATTATTTTGGTGATCATATGCCCGTTTCCTTTTAGACCGATCGCTTGCATCGGAACGTTCGAGCAAAGATTTCAAAGCGCTTTGCAATAAATGAAGTGATTCAATGCCGTGATCTTTGTCCGCAGCTACAACCAGAACGTTGCGGATTCTTCCTCCCAAGGTTGCCATTTCGGCTCTCAGAGTCTTCAAATGGAGAGAGTTTAGAATCTGGATTAGCTCCGGTAAAAGATCGGACCTGTCCTCACAGCACAATGAAGCCTTGAATATTGATGTTCCATCACTCGAATAATCGCATGATAGAACCCTGATTTCATCGGTTTCGGATGGTAAGGTCTCTAGTTCAGTTATCTCAACTGCTTGTTGTTTCAGTTCTCTCAAGCGTTGGACCACTGTTGCTAGAAGTGAAGCTTTGTCTGCCTGATAAAACTCAATTAAAAGAAGAAAAAGAAAACCCTAATTCTAGAAAGCATATTTACTTTCCCAAACGATGTCTAGAAAAAAGTAACGAAATGCATGTTTTCTTTAAAACTGCAGCAGGCAGAAGCTGCAGTTTCGAAAGCTTCAAAAGGCTGTTATAGAATTATAGATCCCGAGATTTTAGAATCTAAAGACTTTTTTCCAGGAAACTTTGATGGAAAAAGAGAGTAATTTTCGCTGTAAACAAACAGGCGCAACAAAGCACAAATTACAGTAAACAAACAAAAATTCATCGTTTAACCTTCCAATGATCAAAGTTCAAAACACTTTCTTCTTTTAACTAAAGGAATTACCATCAATATGATCAGAAGAATAATGGAACATCAAAATTAGCAATGTTTGAAAAAAAGAGAGAATACCTTAGAGTTACAAGGGAGAAGGCTCCTAAGCCTGTTGAGATGAGAGTTAATCCTTTCTCTCCTTCTTTTCTCAGCTTCTTTGTGATTCTTCAAAGCAGCAAGAGCTCTATCCTGCGTCGTTTCGGTGGTAACTCCAGACATCTCCAGCGGGAAGTACGTGGTGGAGGAATTAGAAAAGCTTTGCATAATCTGAAAGTCGGAACTTGCAGAAGAAAAGCCATAGGAGGATCCATTTCCAACACCGTTTTGAGCAAGAAAACTGTAGAGCTCCGAATTCTCCGGTTGCATGCTTTTTTGACTAAAAAGAAGAAAGACCAAGTTAGAAGTTGCAAGTGTTTTGAGTGGCTTTTGGTCGTTTTTGTCTTTATGGTTTTTAATAACATCTCCAACAAAAAAGTTGTGGTTTAAAGTTTCCCATTTCTTAATTTTTTATTTAAAAGAATAGAATCAAGTGGAATTAACGCCTCACGAGTTGTCAGATTTCTAGGCATTTATAATCTTTTTCTTGATTTTTTTTTTTTGCCACTTTATAGTTATGGGTGGTTCATGATATACTGATACACGCTTAGAGATTGGGATATAAAAAGGTTAAAGTTGAACCGGACAGTGCTGAAGTGTCTTGAATTATTCATTAGGAGTCTGTGGCTGGTAGAAACTTGTATTGTATGTGTATTGAAATCATTATTGCAACGCGATTAGGATGTGTGAGGGCCTCATGGTTAGATTCCAACCTAATATCCGTGCGGTCTTAGGCACAAGACATAAATTGTGTACTTAAGTTAACCTTCGTCCTTGAATGATCAAGGTTTTGGAAGAATGATTTTGCAGAAAATAAAGTGAAAGAACATGGGAAGAAAAATAACAAGAGAGAATTTGAAACTCAATTCTACTGTTGATTTTTATTTGCTTTTGAAATTCCTAATGACAATTGAAATGAAGAGAGCTTCTATTTATACTAAAGTCTCTTACAATCGATGGTGTCCTAATTAGACTTGAATCCTATTTACTCAAACTATGATTAAAAAGTCTATCACAAGATAAAGTCCTAATATAACTCAAAGTCTATCTTGGGTTTTTGAATCCTAATCCGACTGGATTTCTATTTATTTGATAACTTGGGTCTCTTAGATGTGATCCTTTTAGATGATAGTAAAAGTAATTCGCTTTGTGATGCGTTACTCGATACTCTTTAGACACCTAAGATTGTTTTTGCCTGGCATCTTGACTCGAAGCCCCGTGACATGAGGTTGCTCATGCAGTGGATCTCTCTCTATCCAAATAGAGAGATGTGAAAGTAATAGCCTTATGTTATGGTCATGTCCTAACTTATAGTCTTTACATTATTACCATTGTGATAGGAGCGTTTCAAATTGATTCGATGTTTCCCAATTATCTTGGCTGGAACTTGTACGAAGCGTTTATAAATAGGTGTATGCATAGAGGTTTGACATTCTTTTCCGATCTAAATTTTAAGGACAGACCCTCTGTGGATCTTAACCTTACCCGCATTTCCTTTTGAATGGGGCCAAGCCAAATAAATGTCTTCATCTGCAATCAGCCTCTCTCTAACAAAGATAGGAGAAAGTCCACTTAGACCTCTACTTAAGATAGAAACTTAGCCGATCGATTGGCCAATGCAAGACTTTATAACACACTGTGAATGGAAAGATCATATTCAAGCTTTGAAAGGAATTCTGCCCTAACCGATCAGAAGGACACATACCAAAATCATAGTGGATGCTCTCTTACTTCACTTCTGCAGTTTCAAAGGATTAAGAAAGAAGCAGCGAAACCAGACTCTTTCGCTAGGGAAATGAGAGTTAGGGTAAGTTAAGGTGTTCCATAGAATGAAAGGATGCAAAAGTTAATGTAGGACTAATAGAGAGGTTGACTCAAATAACAAACTGAAGACATACGAGTTGGACTACGATTATTCTCTTATTGACTACCTGAATGGTAGCCTTAAATCAAAGGATTAGTTCAAGACTCATGATTTGAGTAATATAAAAGAAAGAGATGATAAGCTTTCCTCGTGTACTAGCTTACCTACCAAGCAAGAAACAACATACTTCTATTATGCAATTCTTGATGTTCGCTAGGGCTAATCTCAATTGTCAATTCCTTTTATGAGAAGGCTTCAAGTAAAAGAAAATTACAACTTGAGGTGGAATCACAACCACAATCCATATCTTTCCATCATAGTAAAACCTAAAGAAAAACTTCTTCTACTCTAGCTTGTGTAACATGGTAGGCAGTAGGGACTCAGATTCAATCAAAACTATTTGTACGAGTACCAAACCATATTCTACCAGTTGGTTAGGGGGTGCATGTGGTAAACAAGTCCAAGTCTGAGAACAAGCTTGCAGTGGGAAATGAAACATTTTTAGAACTCCAGTCACCGAAGCTATTCAAGATTTAAACGACAAGGATTCAGTTAAAATGAATTGTAGCTTGAGGTGAAATCACAAGCTAGTTATTTCTACCATATAGAGATCTAAAGAAAAACATTTTCTTTTCCAACTTGTGTAACAGCAATAGGTAGTAGGTGTAACACACCTTACCCAAGTCGAACGATCGGTTGGCCATGTGTATTCATGTGTAACAATAATAATACTGATTTTTTTAGAGTTCACATGCATCTATGTAAACCTTATTTATATTTTTTAGTTCTGATTCTGAATTTGTAAGAACTTGTGGTTTATTTTGTTTCTAAACATGTTTGTGTGATAGCTCGATATTTGTACCAAACTCATTTTATGTATTTTGTTATCTTTTGGGAGGTTAAATTGGGTTTATTTATATATAAAAAAAAATATATATATGGTCTATTTGTTAGGTCAAAAGGGTCTAAATATGGAATTGTAAGTCCAACAATATAATGTCGAATTTAAGGTGTTACATTTAGTGAAATTAGAGTTTAGATTCAGTCAGTCTTAAGACCCGTTAATTAGTTTTAAATAAACGTCAATTAATATAAGCCTCTAGGTCCAAGTGTACTCCTCGAAGACTGAAATTTTGATGGTGTTTCTCTTATTCTTTTGGTTGTAGGAATTCAATATGTCATGTGATTTTGATTATAGTCAAAAGGCTCAAAATGAGAGCCATGCTTCTCTTATGGACGACTTGGAATATGAGTTTGTCCTATATATGGATGATTTAGGACTTTCTAAAGATGCCGGTATGGAAAAAACGACGTACTTCAAGAACCTTAATTTTGTGTTGCATGGAAAGTGAGAGCCTTTCCTAGAACTCAGTCTACCCCGGTTCAAGAGTCTGAGCAATTTCGGAGATATAAAATCATAGAGTTCCATGGATCGAGTGATGATGCTCCAAAGGGCATAGATAAATACTTGAAGGGCTTGTATCTTCTAATGCTGGGGAAGAAAACAATTGGGAAATAGATATTATTTTGTCAGCTCGTCATCTAAAACTTGTAAAACTTTCAAAACATATCAAACCCATGATATTTTTTTTCTCAACTAGATAATGGTATTTGCATATTAATTAATCGTTAAAAACCAATTAATAGTTAATGATTTGTTGGCAAGAAATCCTTGTTATGGAATCAGCTTCGACCGAAGAAAATGGTCCATTGTTTCCAAAATACCAATCCAATCGTTTTGGCCATTGAACCTTGAGGTCGTGGGATCGAGTCCCACGGAGGGCATTTCATAATTCAGAGGTCTCCTACGAAAGCTGCTCTCAATCTAGTATTGGGGCAGCCTACTATCTTACCTCCCTTACCCCATACATATGGGAAAAAAGGGACAGCCATTTATTTTGTATGAAAATAAAACCATTAATATTTTATTAAGATGGAAGAGCATGGTGAAGCATGGGAGGTTTCATTTCTATGGCCTTGAAGGTGTCATTGATGGTCAACTATAAGGACGGATGTATAATTTTATGTTAAGAAAAATAAAATTATAATATCGATAAAATTTTTAAAAAGAATGTAAATTATATAAAAATTTATTATTTTAAGAAGACGATCAACTTAACTATACACTAATCAAAATAAAATAACAATATAATTTCTCATCTTACTTTACTTTCACAACTCTTTTTCAATGAAAGGTGATTTCATTATATTTTGCTTTTTACTTTTTCACGTTTTTTCTTCATCATTCCGCTTTTTTCAGTCAACAACCCTAAACGGTTTCCAATTCACTAAACTCTCACAGAATAGTATAAACTGTTGATTTTCTCATCTCACAAAAAACTGAGTTTGCATCTCCATTTTTTTTTCAAAATCAACGTAATATAAATATAATTTATATTTGCTAATTTATTCCTATTTAATATAAAGTTCGACTGAGAAGTTTATTTATTTTTCCCAGAAGCATCCTACTTGGGATGGTGAAAAACATTTTGAGGAAGAAGAGTGAGAGAGAGTGGAATTTGTGGCTGGCAAAACAAAATCAGTACCAAACATACAGTGGGACCCTTGTTCATAATCATTCATGCCAGAGAAATTAAGATGAATAGATGGCTCCCCAGTCTCAGAAATCTTACCTTTGAACTCAATAGTAAATTATACTACAGAAAAGGAAAAATACGTACAAACCTACCACCATATACTATTTGATTTGTCACAATGGCCAAACCAGTTTTCATACACATCAGATTCTCTGTATATATATTATATGCATGCAGGGAGATGTAGAGATTTTACGGAAAGAGAATGAATTTATAAATTATAAAAAAATACTTAAATTATATAAATATTTAAAATTTTTAAGAGAAACGAATCATTCATCATCTATCCATCTTTATATGCATGTGGTATATGATAATGCGATGGAAATTGAGTTAGGGCTAAATATCATGCCTGTCAAATTTGGAAAACCCACACTATTCAACAAGAGAGTGCATCATATAACACAGTTAACACTCCTAGTCTCCTAGAGAGCAGACTAACATACTGGAGAAAAAGCATGCTGCATTAATAACATCACCAACCCCATTAATGACAAGGTCAATGCTTCATTATGGCCATCCATAAAATATTCTCTTCCCTATATGCTACTTACTAGTCATCTTCAAGACTTTAACGAATTAAAAAACAAATTCAAAGCTAAGTTGTTCATATACATCTGTAAGATCGCCTGCTAACAGTTAAGCGTGCTGGGATTAATAAAAATGCTCTCACAAAGAAAGTGAAATTAAACAAAAAAAAGAAGAAGAGGAAAGACAGAAAAACGATATTGGAGCTTGGAACTGAATGAAGAAATGAAGGTTTTGGCACTTTGGTTATCCTGGTAACTTATCTGTTGTGTAGAGGATTGGGGCCTGTATAGACTTTCCTCTGTTCAGCA